TGTGCATATATATTTATGTGAGAATGTTTTTATATATATGTATATACAAATGTGTGTATGTACTTATATGTAAGTGTTATCGCGCGCGTTTGGCACTGAGCTTGTAAACTTTACCACCAAACATAAAACAGCGGTCAATATAAAGATGTGTAAACGTTGAATATATGCTTGTATGATTGTATTTGTGGATCGGTATGTGTGCGTGTTTATCTCATAAAATGCGTATACTCGCAATAAAAGATTTATGTATTTTACGCTTTTGCTTATTATCTTAATGTCTGCAGAATTTAAAACACACGGAATGATCATTAATTAGAAAAGTGGAGAGATTTCGTTAGCACAACAAGCTTAGTGACTCACACACTCACACTGAGCACAAAATAATTATATAATGATCAAATATATATAACTTTGTGGCTATAATAAACTTAATCCAATGGAAAAGCAATAATTTAGAATTAAATTTTATTGTATGAGTATTTTTAAAGCGATGAACATTCGATCGAATTGCAATCACATTAACAGCAAGTAAACATTTTAAAATATACATATTATTAGGGTAAAGAACATCAAGTATGATACTAAAAATGTCAACTAAATCTACCGATTAGGTTATGGTAGATTATAATGAGCTTCCAACGATAATGCTATTGCGACGAAGAGAGTTAAATCGGTGAATAGAACATTCGCCCATTTATACAATTACTAATGATTCTTTCAATAAGCTCAATTTCGAAACTTGAAGCCAAATATATTGAGTTTGGAAGCTAATGTCGAAAAACGGGGAAATTTCAATTAGGACACAATCTGTTAAAAAAAAAGAAATTGGTTTGGTCTAATACCCAGGAAAAAGTCGATTTTCCCGTATATTTTTAATAACTAAACTAATAAGAAACAAAATTCCTTAGAAGATATTTTATAACTAATTTGTGATAAAATCAATTTACCAGGTTGAATAATAATAGATCTTTTGCCCGGTCGGCTGGTTGAACCAAGCAGGAGAAACCAAATATTCGAAATAAATATAGTGTTATACAATTTGCAACGTTAAGGTCTATCCGGCTCAAGTTACTTCAAGAAAAAAACGTCGGAGACCTTATGAAGAGTATATATAAATGATTATCGTGACAAGCTGAGTCGATTTAGCCATTTCGTCTGTCTGCTGTCTCCATATCAATCTGAAAATTTTCACACGCCTCTTTATTGTCCCGAAACTGCTCATTTGTCAAAATCTCCGATACCAGTTCACTATAGCATATACCTGCCCTACAAACTGAACAATCAGAATCAAGTTCTTAAACGCCAAACTTGTTTAGTTGTGAAGGGTAGTATAGCTTCGGTGCAACCAAAATTAGAGTTTGTTTTTCTGTTTTTATTAATTTCCTTTTTATATATTGTAGTTATAAGGATACAAAGAGTAATCCATTTATGCTACCTATGCATCTAGAGAGTTTGCGATAGATCGTGACTATCAACGCATATTTTGCGCGCACACTGAGTTTCGCAACTTACCCACAATTTTTCATGGCTGCATCCTTTTCGCTGTCAATATCATACAACACAATAATAGAAGCAAACGGCAACACATTCTTACTTGTATGATACATTTGTACAGGTTGGTTGGTCTCACCAAGAAATAGCACTACTAGCTCCAAATTTTTTGGCTCAAGTTGATACATCTGATCGAATCATTCTGTCAACTAATTCTTTATTTACAAACTGTTTTAAGTTGATGTGTTAGAGTATTTTTTAATATGGAAAACATTTAATGTCGCGCAGTGATTGGATGTTTTAAAAGCTTTAAAAACAAACGAAATGTACGAATAACTTTTAGAAGTGTATAAGAAATCCTCACCTTCAAAATGCACCGTTGAATATTGGGCTGGTGAATTTAAACGTGGTCGTACTGGGCTTGAAGGCGATCCACGCGACGGAGAGCAAAAATCGCAACCACACCAGAAACCATTGAGCAAGTTCTTAATATTGTTATATAATTATATAAAAAGGCCGTTTGGAAAGTTAGTGCCGCACACGTTAACAATTCAACAAAAACTGGAACGAAAACAAATTGCTCAGCATAATTTGGAGCGTTTTAAAAAGTATTAAACCGATTTCTGGCGTCGTTTTATAACTATGGATGCGACTTGGATCTACCACTATGATTCTAAATTGAAACAAGAACGTTTACAGTGGACCGAAGCTGGTTGTTCAGCTCCAAAATAGGTAAAGTCACAACGATCAGCACAGAAGGTTATTGCATCAGTCTTTGGGATGCAAAAGAACTTTTGTTGACTGATTATCTGCAGAAAGGTTTTGCTGAATGAAGAAGCTACTACAGCAGTAGACGGGTAGTTTGCAGAGCTTTCTGAAAGTCCTTATAGCGATGGCATAAAATTATTGGAGAGCCATTGGAATAAGTGTATTGAAGTTAAATGAGATTATATTAAATAAAATAATATAACAGTATTTTTTTTATTTCGAGCGCAGAAACTTTTCAACCAACCTGTATATCAAAAAGCCAAACAAGCAAGGTTATATACGTGCTGCAGCAACATGTTGCCAGCTTGTCAAATCAGATCTGGTATAGAAAGCGCACACGTTCTTTAATTAATTAAGACATACTGTTCAGTCACATTGAGTCGCCAACAGAGTTCCATTGAATTTATGCACACGTTCCTATAACGGTATGCAAATTGTGAATGACGGATGTTGCAAATGCCAGCGCTATTATCCCGTTGCTGCTGACGTCAATGCTGCAAACCATAGCTGATGCATAGAGGCCACACATAACAGCTTTTTTTACATACACCAGAAGTATATTTTTTAGTGTAAGTGTATGTAGGTAGGTAAAAAAATGGCATATAACGGCCGCAGCCTTGGCGACTTCATCGCTTTTTAAGTGGGCGCACATATATTAATATAATGAAAAGTTTGTTTTTTCTGCAGCGCAACAACTTCTTTGAAAGTCATTTCAACTTAATTGCCAATTCCACGAACATAACAGTGAAAGCGACGTACAAAGTGTGTCACCCTGTTATTTAAATAAAGCGCTGTTGAATTATAGTTTAAATAAAAACAGCTTGCAGCTGTCGTCTGATTAAAAAATTGTTGCTGTCACTATAATTCTGCACCCAGTTAATAAATATTCACACATTTTTTTATTTACGTGTCTATAATTTACCTTTTTCATTTGCATATGCATGTGAAAATAAATATTTATGATTTATGCAAAATCCTCGCATGTGGATGCGCTTTGTAGCGGTAGTAATCAGAGGCACATAACTGCACTTGCAGGCATTTACACCAGATCAGTTTGTGTATGGATATGTGCGTGTAAAATAAAGGAACAGCGTCCACTTCCGAACTACAGTTAAGCACATAAATATCAACACCAACAACAGACACTCCCACAACAGCCATGTACTCGTACGCAGGCTGCTGGCCGCTGTTGACTGCATGGCTTTATGAGTCAAGGGTAAACGTACAACAGCTGCGTACAGCGTACGGCATATAAATAGAGAAGAGTATTTGAAAGAATTTACTATTCAGCAATCACGGAAACTGAATGAGTTAAGTGCGTAACTAATTTTCCAGCCGCCCAAAAGTAAAACTTTAAAAAAGATTTTTACAGACGACTTTTAATGACATGATTTTCCAAACAGTCATGGAGAAAGTACTAAAAATTTTAAGTGTCACTCGTATATATATGCCTATTTTTAACGGTAGTTATATTACATATTTCAACTTTATTAAACTTATCTAAGAAGTTCATCAGCAGTTTTCCTTTATTAACAACATATATTTTGACTAGTTAATTGCCCTGACAAAAAGCTTTAATTTTTTCCTAGTCCAACATATTTTCTTTCAAAATTAAATTTCCCATATTTAGTTAGGTTAGGTTTTAAACCTGTTCCCGAGTCACGGAGATTACACTTGCATAACTAAAGCCAAGTATTTTGTTGAGCTGGAAATCTCCTGAAATAAGATCTCATATATCGACAAAGATTCACTCGACCTAGCTAGTTCACCTTAATGTCTAAAACGGTGATATTCAGAGACAGAGTTTTATTGCCAATTTTAATAAAAACAAGAAAAAACGTTAGCGCCGTCTGCATCGAAGCTAAAATACCCTTCACAAGTGCATTTTTATAGCATAAAAGAGTATAAATATATCTTTATCTTCATTTTAATCGATCAGTTTTAATCACAGCTATATGCTAATTGTCAAATAAAAAAGCTTTCCATGCAAGCACTTGAGTTTGATCGGTCTGTTTGTTTGGCAGCTATATGCTATAGTTGTGCGATCTGAACAATTTGATCGGAGGATATAATGCTGCCTTATATAATAATTTACGCCAAAGTTCGTGAAAGTAAATTGTCAAATAAAGAAGTTTTACATACATGGACCTGATGTTGATCAATTAGTTAATATGACCGCTATATCCTACAGTAGTCCGATTTAAACAATTTGATCGGAGAATGTAACGCTGGAAATTTTAAGATACATAAATATATGCGTATTTAGTTTTTGTTGGTTAAGTTACCCATAGTAGCCGAACGTGGGCGCATGAGTAAGTCTCGGGTATAACACTGTAACTTTAAGTGCATTCCCAGAAAATAAGCATTATCGCACTACTGTCGGGAAATTCACAAGCAAAATTTATTAGAAAGAAGGATCCGCCATTGATATATATGCTCTTAACAGCTCTTGTGGCTCAATTAAATACATTTTCTTTGCTGTTTTGGGTACTAAGTGCTTCGACACCGACTAGCGTCAAAAGCTCCGACCTTTAACGAATAGAATGTCATCTAATGACAAATTCATTTGGCTGATTGGACCGCCGAAAACCTTTTTCTTTTTCCAAAACTCAAATATGACCTTCATGGAACGCATTATAGTTCGAATGAGACAATGAAGGAAAATGAGGCCGATAATATGTGTACGAACAATTGGATTTATCGATAATCAATTATAATTCGCAAAAAATTAAATGCACTGATCTAGTTTAACTGTTGTATAAATTATATTTAGTTATATATTCAATGACGTCATCGTCAATCAGATATTTCACAGACTGACCACGTTTTAGTAAACGACGCACCAAAGTAGAACTCAAATTGTTTGTCGACCAATTTGTCACCAACTCAATATTACGCTAAAGAAGATAGCAAATGAAGCTTAAATGCCATTTTTTAGAAAAAAATATATACATATACGACTACCTACACTATGCTTCGAGAGCATGTCGGATTCAAAAATAAACTTTTCTGATTTCGAACCAAGGCGGGAAATTACCACCAAGCCATAACTGCACATAGTTTCAACCTGCACAAATAAATTTACTATAATTACAAAAAAAATTAAAATCTTATATACACCTCCTCATTTGTCCACAACTGCGGATCGGCTAATGTCGCCAGCAAATCGGCGCCCGCCAAAAATCTCAAATGTACCTCCCCTGTGTACTCAGTCACTTCTGCCGGCAGCATCTCTCTCTTATCTTCCACTTTATCTTTCATCACATTGCTTATGCAGAGCTTGTGGTATTTCAGCACGTCCACCGTTGGTGTCCATTGCGGCTGTTGCAACTCCCAGTCGGAGGCCTAAATTTGCATCAGAAACTTTATTGTATTACAACACCGCCACTATCACGCGTGTCTGTTGCAAATCAACTCACTTGTATCCATTTAGAAGAGCGCAGCGCCAATCTCAGCATAGCCAATCTGTGTTTGCCTGCCACTAATCCTTGCTTCCGTTGCGCATCATGTACTGGTGACATTATGCCACCGATTACCTGAAAGGCCCCACGCTCCATTAAGTGATTTTTTGCTATCTCTATTGAGTTAATAAAATGTAATCGCACCGCATTTACTGTTATGTTACAAGTATGTTGGCTCACCAAACATGCGCAAGTGCATCAAAGTTGGTGGATTGAACGAACCACAAGCAATCAGTATTAAACGCGGTAACAAGCATTTTTGCTTTGACATTGATTGTGTTTATCAAATATATATATTTTTTTTATATAAAAATATATGAAATGTCATAGAAGTTTTTGCTTGAAATAAAAGCATAACACAGATCAATTAATCAAGTATATATGTATATACATAATTTTAAACATGGTTGACGTTGAATAAATATACGTTAATAAAGTTATGCAAAATTTGAAATGATTGAAAAATTTTCCCCAGACCGTCATGATCCTCTATTGAAGCGTTTCAACTAGAAATCTTCCCATTTTTCGAAACAATTTTTGTAGTATGATTGGAGTTGTGCTTTAAAATAGGTCTCATTCTCTGCGATTTCTCTTCAGCGACCATTCGTTTGAGGTTTGTGAATAGGAAGAAATCTAGTTTAGTCTAGGTTTGCATACCTAAATGTTCCTTAACGATTTGTTCCAAAAATCTATTATTATCTTTACAGGGTCAAATGTCTCGTTCTACTTTATATTTCGGCTATCGAAAATTATTTGTCGTGTTACTCATATTTACGTCCATCGGGTTCGATGTTTTCAGTGGTCTAATGAGCTATAATAAATTTAGCAATCTTCTTATGAGTAATTGCTTCGCTTGATGTAGAGCCCAGAGGACATATGTACATGAAGCCCTTTTATGTATTCGAGATATTTATTAAAACAAAAAATCCAATTTTTGACGGCTGTGAAATTTTTCACCTGTCTTTTTGAAAGATACACCTTATTTACTTCGGACTTCCGGTTATTATAGTACGACAACTTCAAAGCATATAGAAGGCCCAAGCAATTTAGATATTTATTTACATGTTTAACCTTAACTTTTTCAAGCAACATAATCAAGTTACGCCATCTCTTGGCAAGCCGCACGAATATAGTTATAAACCCAATATATTAAGTATATTTTTTGAATACAAATAATTCGAGCCATTCAAACCAAGCGGTTCGAAATTCAACGCTCTAGTTTGTCTTAAACAATCTCTTCAAAACGAAAGCTTCAAGTTAGTTATTTAGGTAAACGATATGCCTATACTTATACTTAAAATCAAAATATCTACATTTACCTAAGTCAATTTACACTTTTTGATATAATAACTAAAATAAAAGTACAGTAATATCAATTTGCTACTAATAAAACACCTACAATTTTTTAAAATTGAAATTAACTTTGTTAGGCTTACCTCATCAACAGATGTTGGCATTAGTGGCTTTGTGGCTTCTTCCCTTTAATTACAAACACACACTACTTTATATCGCATATTGTTCCCAGGTAGATATATGTGTATATAACATATGTTATTAATGTGGTCTCCAGTTAGCTACATTTAAGACGTCAGTGTGCTTTATATTAAGCTTTGCTTCAATCAAAGCAAATGAAAGGACAGAAAATCAATAAATGACTATAAATTAATTATTTTGACATACTGCACAAATAACTGTATATAAACCACACATAACTGGTGAGGCTTATAGTTGTATATTGTTGTATGAAATTACACCACCTCAGCGCAGCACACACTCCTCTCTCTCAACACACTTCCGGCTGAAGCTTTAATTCCCTTGTCAATTCAACTGCGAAATTGTCGGTGGAGTTTCCGGTCAACGAGCGCGCAATCGCTGGGGCGTGAGAGTAACAGTTGAAATAATGTAAAACAATAAAAAACAATGCAATGCAAACAATGAATAAAATCAATCTCAGTGCTTTTTGTACTGCAAAAGAAGAAATCAAACACAGAAACAACAAATCAAATAAAATAACAAAGAAAGCGCTTGCTAAGTTAGCTAAGCGAATCGGCAATGGCGAATTTTATCGCTTATGAATAAGTTTCTGCTTGAAAGCATTCAAATAGAGAACGGATACGAAGCATGTAAAAGAATTTTAAACCTTAGAATGTGATAAGGAAGCGATAAAGGGGATGCAAAAAGAAAACAAAAAAAATTAAATGCTTTCGCATTTTTTATAACCGGAAGTTAAAGTCCGTTCTCTCTATTTTGTTTAATTTTTTTTTTTTTTTTGGAGATTCTAAATAAGTTGTTTCTGAAACTTTTTTTTAATACTTCCAAAAATTATTTAATTTAACCATAAGTGCACAAGGTTCAGAACTTTAATCTAAGGCGACATAAATTCGTCAATAAGAAAGAGCATTTATAAAACGTTCAATAATATGTATTAAATCTATTTAAAATTCTCAAACGGCATCGCTGCAGTCTGACGATTTCGTGCTGACGTATTTCATGTATTTCCCCATTATCCTCTTCTTTAAAGAGCAATATAAGCATCAATATAAATAAAAACGCTTTAATGAACCCTGTGAGATTTAGTTATTCTAATTCTTTACAGAAGTTAGGCGCATTGAAGAGGAGGCAACTGATGACAGCTCTTAATAAAGAAAGGAAATCAAATACTCATGCCTATCCAGCAAATACAAAATGAAGTTGTCTTCTGGAGAATAATTATAGACTTAGCTAGTATTATACATAAATTAATTAACGAATGACAACTCGAAAATTAGAGAACGACACGAGAAACGTTAGAAAAAATAACATTCCCAAACAAAACAATTCTTAAATAGTATTTGTATATTTAATTTGTCAGCCAATTTAAATCGACTTGTAATGTAGATCTTTATCGAGGAAAGACGGGTCTCCTATCCAAAACTGACCTCGCTTTATATTTGTTGAATGACTATCAAGTTATTGGCAATTCTTGAAACAATTTACTGCATTCGATGATCGCCATATTTATACCCTGAAAAGGATTACTAAAATTTTGCCACGAAAATTTAAGCGGCGGAGACCCTATAAAGTATGTAACGGTTGATCCAAGTATAGTTACTTTTTTCAATAGTCTATTTTTGACGGATCACGCGTGAGTTGTGTCAAGCTGTCATGTTATTTTTGTTCAGTATTATTTAGCATTTCATCATGGAAAGACTTACACCTGAACAACGTTTAAAAATCGTTCAACTTTATTACGAAAATTGACGTTTTGTAAAAAATGTGTTTCGCGCGCTTCGCTCAACATATGATCAACATAATCGGGCTGCTAACGTACTATTCGCAACACCATCACCCATCTTGAAAACCAGCAATCATTATTGGATAATATTCGACCGAATAGACCTCAGCTTATGAGATATCGATATGTAATTGTGAAGACGCCATTTTATCCTCAAGATGCTGCTCATTTGTAGGAACCGCTGATATCGGATCACAGTAGCACGATCAAAATCATGTCCTTGTATGAAAAACTTTTGTGTTTCACAAGATATCTTCATAAAATTAAGCATGGGTTATTGTTCAAGGCAACGGTACAATCTCCAAACAAATTGTTCCGATCAGACCAATTATCCGTCATACAAATTGAATGATCAACATCAATTTCTTGTATGGCATATTTTGTATTTGTGCAGGGTATTACAATTTCAGTGCAACCGAAATTAACGTTTTTACAAATTTTTTTTTCACAACCATAAAAATGTAGTGAATTATGTAACGAAGAATATTTATAAATGGATTTAAATTGCTTAATATAATTTCCTAATCCGGTTAAAAGATAAATAAAACCCAACGGAATCCCTTTTCAGCTTTCAATTTCCTACCAGGTCTGAGCAACAGTTACTTACGCTCTCCAATCCAGCAATACTACTAAAAAACGTAGGATTTTCTTTCGCTTGGTTTGTTGCCAATAATGTCACAATGTAACATATTATACAAAGCAAGCGAAATATTATTAATGATATTTAAGTTGACGAGATATTAGCAACAACGCTGACAACAAGGAAATGACGAAAAGGCAAGATGCAGTAAAGCTACTGACAACAAAGCCACAGTACATCTACATAACACATAAGCAGTGAGTAGCAGAGACATAACAAGAGCGGAGCACAAGAATAGCAACAGCAACAATGGCAAATTCCATGTCAAAAACAGCAACATTATTGCTTATTACCGAACAACGAGTGTTGGTATCCAGAGAAAGTACCAAGTGGAAGAAGCAACTGCTGCTTCATAACACTTCAGAGCTGCAGGTTATTTCTATTATCTTTTCGTTTAATAAACTGTGAATGGCAAGTGGAGCTGCGATTGACACTCAAAAATGTGGCATGTCTTTGTATGTACATATGTATATTTGTACAAGATACTGCAACAAGTGGATATAATTGTTGTTGTAGAAGCAAAACCTCTGAGACATTTAAGACAAAATTTAAATTTAAGAACAGGGTTGGCTATGTCTGACTTTTTTCTATTGGATCTATAACTATATTTGTGCGATTTGCTCAGAGTTGGCGTAACTTGATTATTATTCCATTATTCCAATATTCCGAACATGTGTTAGAAAGCTACTGTCCTTGTCCGGTTTTTAAGTACATGTCATTGATTTGAAGTGTAAACAAAAAATTTTTTTTTCATTCAAATATGTCGAAATTTGCGCTTGAGGAGGTGTATTTTTAGAAAGTTCTTCATTTCTACTTTAATATGAAGAAAACGTTTATGGTGAACATGGTCTAGCTGAGCAAATATGGCAAGAGTGGCTTGTACGCTTTAAAAGTGGTGGTTTGAGCTTGGAAGACAAAGAACATTCTGGGCGGTCAAACAAGTTTGATTATAAAAAGCTGGAAACATTACTCGATGCATATTGTTGACAAATACAAGAAGAACTCGCAGAATCTATGGTAGTCTCTCAAGCAGCCATTTCAAAACGTTTAAAAGTGGCCGGATGTATTCAAAAGAAGGGCGGAATATGAATTAAAGCCAAGGGAGATTGAAAGATGATTTTGCATGTCAGAAATTCTGCTTCAAAGGTACAAACAGAAGTCAATATTGCATCGGATAGTGGTCGGTGATGAAAAATGGATCCATTACGATAAGCCTAAATGTTAAAAATCATATCTGAAACCGATTATCTATGAGCCAAGATAATGTTCAGTATTTGATAGAATCCACGGTGTGCTGTATCATATGCTTCTAAAACCAGGTGAAAGTACCGACAACAGCTCATCAAATAAAAGTCGGAATTCGCGACTAGACAGAAGGCTATAACTTTCCATCATGACAATGCTTGACCTCATGTTGTAAGACCAGTTAAAAACTATTT